ACAGAATATTTAGGTTGGAAAAGCCGTCTAAGAGAATCGAGGCCAAACATTCCTCCAGCACCGTCAAACCCACCACTAAACCACGTCCCCAAGTGCCACATCTACAAGGCTTTTAAATCCCTCCAGGGATGGGGACTCCACCACTGCTCTGGGCAGCTGTGCCAGGGCCTGATCACCCCTTGCCATGAAGAAATTTTTCCTGATTTCCAATCTAAACCTCCCCTGGTGCAACATGAGGCCGTTTCCTCTTGTCCTGTCACTTGTTATGTGGAAGAAGAGCCCGACCCCCACCCGGCTCTATCCTCCTGTCAGGGAATTGTGGAGTGAGAAGGTTCCCCCTGAGGCTCCTTTTTTCCAGGTTGAGCCCCCCGAGCTGCTCCTGTGCTCCAGACTTCTCTCCTTCATGCAGGGAGGGGTCTGTACCCCCTGCCACAAGATTATCCTAAAATTGTTGGTGTGCACAGCCCGGCCTGAGGGTTGGGATCTTTCTGCTCGACTGGGGAGCAGCAGCTGCGGGATTGGGAACACAGGACAGGATAATTTGCGCAGGACCAAGAGATAAAGTTCATCAGGGCTGTGTTTTGTTGCACAAGAGGCATGTTGTTCCCCTCACAATGTCCTGAACATCTCCCATTCTCCAGAGGATTGGAGCAATGTTTGCTGACCGATATCAGGGCTCGGCTGTGCCAGGCAGTGTCAAAACACAGGGAGGGAAGGGCCCTGCTCCAAAAGTTACTCATCCTTATTTTACAGGAGAAAAAACAAGACAAAAGAGCAGGACGGCCCTCAGTGCCATGTTCAGAGGTTCCTCTGGAAGAGATGAGATTCAAACCAAATTATTTTGGGTACAAGCCTCAGCAGTCCATTTTCCCTTATGCACGTGGAGAGAAGACTGAAAAAGGCAGGCAGTGAAACCCATCCCAGTGCCAACCACTCCTCTACTCAGGTACGTTTCTAAAGCACCTCTTACTCCTTTTCCTCAGTGTAATAGCTGATATGTCCTTGATTTGAGGGCTGTTTGTGATTGTTTTTTTCCTCTGAGCTGGGAGAGAGATGATCCACATCACCCAGGGCCTGCAGAGTTGTCAGGACTAACAGTAGCCTTACAATCAGTCCACCACGTGCAGCCACAGCCAAAATTTTCACTCTTCCCTCCTTCACAGAGGCAGCAGTGCTGTGTTCCCACTGTCCATGGGGCTGAAACCTTTGCTTTTCCTCACAGCCACCCTTCAGCTGTGGCTGCTTCATCCCTGGAAATGTTCAAGGGCAAGTTGGATGGGGCTTGGAGCAAGATGGAATAGTGGAAGGTGTCCCTGCCCATGACAGAGGGTGGAAAAAGATGAGCTTTATGGTCCCTTCCAACCTGAACTATCAAGAGGCACCAGGGCAGGTTATGAGGGAAAATTTCTTCCCTGAAAGTGTAGTCAGGCACTGGCACAGCTGCCCAGGGCAGTGATGGAGTCCCCATCCCTGGAGGTGTTTAAAAGCCGTGTGGATGTGGCACGTGGGGACTCAGGTTAGTGCTGGCCTTGGCAGTGCTGGGGGAACAATTGGACTCAATGATCTCAAAGGGCTTTTTCAGCCTAAATGATCCTGTGATTCTATTCCACGCTTCCATGACTGTGTTGCAAATGCTGTTAATAAATGTCATTCCCCACAGCACCTTCAGTAGGATGGAGGACACCCCACATTGGAAGCAGCTGCCCCTCACCTGTGGGGTCTGGTGGTGCTTCCTAAGGATGGAGCTGTGGGGGCCATGGGGATGGAAGTGCTGAACACAGGAGAGCCCAGGAAGTGTCTCCTGGGAGGCTCAGGGGGGTTAATACCCGTAACTGCAAGGGATCTCTATGGAATCATAGATTACTGGAATCTCTTCGGTGGGAAGGGACCTTAAAGCTTACAACCCCCTGCCATGGGCAAGGACACCTTCCACTAGCCCAGGTTGCTCCAAGCCCCGTCCAACCTGGCCTTGAACACTTCCAGGGATGGGGCAGCCACAGCTTCTCTGGGCAACCTGTCCCAGAGACCCCAGGAGACCCCAGGCCACTCTCCTGCAGCTGAGGAGCTCCCCAAAGCACCAGCCCTCCCTGTGCAGTTCGCTATCCTACTGCTGTGCTGAAAAAGCACAAGGAAACAACTTTTCCTCCTCAGCCAGGATAAGCTGCCCAGGTGAGCAGCATTTTAACAGTCCTGCTCATGTCCTGGAGATGGGAGTGTGTGTTTAGCTGTGGATTCATGTCAAAGAATTCCCAGTCCATGCAGCAAAATGCAGGGAGGATTAATCTGGTGCTCCCAGGCCATCTCAGCACTGAAGTGAAAGCAGCAATGGAGACATGTCTGTGTTTTAAGTTACACCCAGGACTCCCAAGCTCTGGAAGCTTCAGTTCTGGGAGAGACCCCTCTCCTCTTCTGGAAGGGTTGATGGTGTGGATCAGTGCAAACCGCTGTGAGAGGAGAATTAATCGTCCTTATTATGAATCTTTGCATAAATCTGTGAGATTAAAATGTCATTAATTAGACTTCCAAATCATCCTCAGATATTGAAATCACCTGAACTGCCAGCATTAATAAGACACAGCCTGGACAAACTCAGGCTGAACTTGGCACCAGGGGTGAGTTTAAAAATTCGGGTCACTGTATCTAAACACCTCTGCAATCCTTCTCAGGGGCAATTGCCCAGGACAGGCTGTCATCCAAATCTGCCTGTTGGCATCTGCACGGAGAGTTCCAGGCTGCTTCCATCGGGCAGGGACTGAACAACCTTGAACTTGCATCACTGAGCTGATCACGGGCAGGACGGCACCAGGCAGCTCCTCGCCCCCTCCAAAGAGAGCCCCAGAAATGGCTGGTGACCTGATTTCTTTGTTCTTCCTCAGAATCAATGCAGGTGGAGGCTCAGGAATTGGAGTTTCTCCAGGTGGGAGAGACCTGTGGTTCTGCATCAGAGCCTGGTTCCACCCACAAGCCCAGCAGTCCCTTTCGGGGAGCAGCCACGGTACCTACAAACAGCAGACACCTCTTCAGGAGGATTCTGGAATTTGCTGTCACCCTGGAGAGTCTTTCATCTTCTTCCCATTTCTTAGAAGTTCACTTTTGCTTGGAAGCACAGGGAGTTTGTAAACAGCCCTTCTCACCCTCACAGATACTCTCAGGGTAAATGCTGGATTTCAGCATTACCAGCCTTGATTTTGGTTTTTAATCATAAAATCATGGAATGGTTTGAGTGGGAAGGGACCTTGAAGATCATCTCATTCCAACGTCCTGTCCAACCTGGCCTTGAACACTTCCAGGGATGGGCATCCCTCCCACAATTCTATCAATAAATTCAGTGGGGACATCTAATTTTGAGCTGTGCCTGACCTTTCAGACTTTCTTAACAGAGGTCTTTTACCATAATAATTGAGAGAAAAGCCTTTGATTTTATGCACATCTGGCCCTGCATCCTCACCACTGGCTGTAGGATGTTATGTCAGAACTTCCAGTGCCTAAAGGGGCTCCAAGAGAGCTGGAGAGGGACTTGGGACAAGGGCCTGGAGGGATAGGACAAAGAGGAATGGCTTCCCACTGCCAGAGAGCAGGGTTAAATGGGATATTGGGAAGGAATTGTTGGCTGGGCAAGTGGTAAGGCCCTGGCACAGGTTGCCCAGAGAAGCTGTGGCTGCCCCACCCCTGCAAGTGTCCAAGGCTGGATGGGGCTTGGAGCAACCTGGAATAGCAGAAGGTGTCCCTGCCCATGGCAGGGGGTGGAATGGGATGAGCTCTAAGCTCCCTTCCAACCCAAACCATTCCATAATTCCGTGATGGAAACGCAACTGCCGGGTGCTGACCCAGCTTGGAGGGTGCTCTGGGGGTCCCTGCACAGAGGGGCAGCTGGAGGGGACCGTCCCTCTGCCAGGGCCGGGTGTCCTTGGGGAAGAGCCCGAGGAGGATTTCAGAACACACGTGCGAGGTGGCCGGGCTGAATTTTTGGCCGTTTCTCCATTTTTTTTTGGGCGGGCCGGTCTCAGCCGGGACCTGGGGATGTGTTTGCTCCATTCCCGCGGGTTTTGGACCCAAACCGCGGCTGCCCCGGCGGGCACCGACCCCGGCCCTGCCCCACTGCCCTGGGCTGGGGCGCTGGGATCCTACTCCATCCCTTCCCGCTCCATCTCCACTGCCTTCCCTACTCCATCCCTTCCCGCTCCATCTCCACTGCCTTCCCCGCTCCACTGCCTTCCCGCTCCAGTCCATTCCTGCTCCTTGCCTTCTCCATTTCCATCCCCCTGCCCGTTCCCATTCCCTCTCCCTGCCATTCCCATTTCCCCTACATTCCCTTTCCCCTGCCCCCTCCATTCCTGCTCTGTTCCTGACTCCCAGCCCGCTCCATTCCCGCTCCCTGTCCGTTGCCACTCCTATTCCATTCCCGCCCTCTGCCCGCTCCATTCCCAGCAAATTCCTGCTCCCTTGCCCGTTCCCATTCCCGCTCCATGCCTGCTCCCTGCCCGATCCATTCCCCCTCCCTGCCCGCTCCATTCCTACTCTATTCCCGCTCACTGCCCATTCCCACTCCCACTCCATTCCCTCTCCCTTGCCCGTTTCCGTTCCCACTCAGTTCCCTCTCCCTGCCCGCTCCCATTCCGTCTCCCTTTCCTGCTCCATTCCCTCTCCCCTTCCCGTTCCCATCCTCGCTCTATTCCCGCCCCGCCTTCCCCGAGCCCCGCCCCCTGCCCTAACGAAGTCCCGCCCCATCCACGAGCCACGCCCACTCATGCCCTGCCCTCTTTGCCCTCCCCTTCCCTAAACCCCGCCCCCGCGGTCTCCTTTCCCATAGGCTCTCTAACCCTCAAGGCCCCGCCCCTTCCCCTAAGCCCCTCCTATCGCCCCGCCCCCGCCTTCAATCTCCCCCCTGATAGTCCCGGAACCTTTTTCGCGGGGGTCTCGAGATGCGCCCGGCCCTTTTCCCGCAGCACCATCGCCTCCAAGGCGGATTGGTCCGGGCGGCATCACGTGACCGAGGAGGTGCCCGGGGAGGTGCTTCCGGCCCGTGCCGCTCCGCCGGCGGCTCCCGGGAATCCGGGGGGTCCTGGGAATCCGGGGGATCCCGGGGCTGCCTCCTGTCCCCCCAAGGGCTCCCCCGCTGCTCTGATCCCCCGGGGGTCTCACTGCCCCACTCTGTGTCTCCCCACTCTCCCCCCGGGCCCTGAGGGCAAAGGCGGGTCCCTGTGAGGGCCTTGCCCCCTTCCTCCGCTCATCATCCCATATCCCCCGAGAGCCGCGACCACGGCGGGTTATGCCCCTTCCCGCGCGGGTGGGACCGCACAGACCCTCCCCGGCGCCACCACCCCCTCCCTGTTTTCCCGGTGAGTTTTTTCCCGGTGAGCTTTCCCGGTGATTCCCTCCCGCCCCCGCCATGGAGTTCGCCGAGCTGATCAAGACGCCCCGCGCCGACAATGTGGTGCTGCACCGGCCGTTCCACGCGGCCGTGGAGGGGACGCTGTGCCTGACCGGCCACCACCTCATCTTCTCGTCCCGCCGCCACGACAACGCCGAGGAGCTGTGGCTGCTCCACTCCAACATCGACTCCTGCGAGAAAAGGTGGGGCCTCTCGGTAGAGTGGTTGGCAAGGCTGGTTGTCCCGGATCCAGGTGTGGAGAGGAGGAAGGATGGAGATGGCAGTGGGGTTATGCTGCGCCAGGAGAGGTTGAGGTTGGACATCAGGAGAAATTTCCTCACGGGAAGGGTTGTTAAACACTGGAAGGGGCTGCCCAGGGAGGTGGTGGAGTCCCCATCTCTGGGAATGTTTAAGGAACGGCTGGATGTGGCATCAGTGCACGGTCTGGGTGGCAAGGTGGTGCCAAGTCACAGGTTGGACTCAATGATCTCAGAGCTCTTTTCCAACCTAAATGTTCCTATGAGAGCACAGGGCAGGGTTTTCCTTTTGCTTGGATGTTCATTTTGACTGTTGCATCTGAAAGGTTAATTTTTTGGTCATATGGAGAGTCAAAACTTGTGTGTTTGAACACTTCTGCTCTGTGTTAATTATTCAGTGGATCCATCAATAACCCTTGAAACACTTGAATACTTCAATAACAGTTGAAACACTATATGTAATTTCTAAATAATGCAACTTTACCACCTCCTTTGCATTTTTACCACCTCCTTTACCCTGTCCTTTGCAAAGGGGATGGAGGTCAGAGCGCTGGTGGAGGGATTTGCTTTGTGTCAGCCACCAAAACTGATGGACTCTGGAATTTCTCATCCCCAAATCCACCTCCTGCTGCTCCACACCATCATCCCTTGCTCCTCCAACTCCTCATGGGAATCAGTAACCCTTTAACAATGTATTTTTGTGGTTCAGCTGAGTTGTAGCTGCAGCACTCCCATTATTTTTCTTCCCCGCCCTGTTTTTATTACAGAAGCTCCAAAGATTTGGGGTTTTTTACCCTCATTCCTGCTTTACCTGCCCTGTCACCCTTTGCTCCCTAAGTGTCTGCCCCATCTCACCTGGTCTTCTGCTCCCTCACTTGCTCCTGTTTCAGCTTCCTCATCATAATTTTTTATTTAATTACAAAGTCTTTCTCATTTTTCTTGCCTTTTAAAGAAATCTGGTAGAACAGATTTTTCTGGAAAATTGCAGGAGCAATTAAAACCCACCAAGTTGGCAAAGAGTCTGGAATGGGGGGAATTGCTGAATGCTGATTAAATCTGTTGCTGCTTAAGTTTATTCCTGACTTTTCTGAAGTGGGAAAGGAGCAGAAGGGTGGGAAACTCAGGGAATGTGTTCCCATGGAGCATTGCTGAGTCCTTGGAGGGGGTTTGGCCCCATCCCTGTTACTCCTTGTACTAAAGCTCCATTTTGAAGATTAATATTTACAAGCTTTTCCTTCAGTTTTTAAATTTTTATGAGCTCAGCTGCAGTTGCAGTGGAAGTTAATCCCAAATAAGGAAGGAACATGGAGTCATGAGGAGGGATTGCTGGCTCAGCACCTGATTTACTACCGAATTACTCTGCAGATACTCACAGCCCTTATTTTCCAGGAGGTCTCCAGAGCAGCCCCTGAGTAGCTTTGTGGGAGTGAAACTTTACCATTTGAAGGGATAAGTGTATTTTCCCAGTGCTGGAGAGGATGGAATAACGAGACTCTCAGATCTGTAAAAGGTTTAGAAAGGCCCAGCCTGACCCTGCTGCAGGATCTTAGTGCACAACGTTGTGCCAGGCTCAGAAAATCTCTTCTCCCACTGAATTATAAGAGGGTTTTTTTGTACAAAACAGTGTTTTTTCAGATTTATCAGATGATTAAACTGCTCCTTGAGCTTTTGTAGCTCTTTAAACAGCTGGAATAGGACTGAGGAGGGCATCTGGGAGCTGGATTTGATTTGGAACCAGAGGTTTTTCTGGGCTCCCTGGACTTGTAACCGGTGGGGGGGGGTAAGACCTTCATTCCCTGAGATCTGCAGGGCAAATCCTGGCACTGCAGGGATCAAACACCAAAATTCCTTGTTAAATCAGAAATCCCAGACTGGTTTGGGATGGAAGGGAACATAAAGATCATCTTGTTTCACCCCCTGCCACTTATTTCCTCTCCCACTATCACAGGCTGCTCCAACCTGGCCTTGAACACTTCTAGGAATGGGGCAGCCACAGATTCTCTGGGAAAAATGTGCCTGGGCCCTACCACCCTCACAGCCAACAACTCCATCCCAAAATCCCATCTAACCCTGCCTTCTGGCAGTTTAAAGCCATTCCCCCTTGTCCTGTCACCCTCACAGTGGTGTAATATCTATACTTCCACTCCATAGCACAAGGATGGAATAAATTAAAATAAAAACAAGTTTATACCAAATAACAAGTTGGTTTTATATCTTTCTTTTCTTGCAGGATGATATTGGGGAAAAATTGCTGCTAATGGAGTTTTGCCTTGTAGGAATTTGTGGTGGGAAGAGCTGTAACATCCCCTCACAGCTCCCAGATCCTGTTCTGATGAGGCTCCTGTTCCATGTCCTGCTGTAGGTTCGTGGGATCGTTGGGCACCATTGTCATAAAGTGCAAAGACCTGAGGATCATCCAGCTGGACATCCCTGGGATGGAGGAATGTCTGAACATCGCCAGCTCCATCGAGGTGAGGATTCATCAGCATCAACAGAACCGGCGGGTCTCCGTCTCACCTCAACCTCAACAGCTTTTTGTCTCCAGTTAGGGAGGTTTTCATTGGGGTTATGTAAGGGAAAGGAAAATTCTGGAGTATTTCCCCCCAGGTTGTGGGATATTTCCCATAGGTTGTGGATTCCTCATCCCTGGAAGTGTTCGAGGCCAGGTTGGATGAAGCTCTGAGCAATCTGGTCTGGTGGAAGCTGTCCCTGCCCATGGCAGGGGGTTGGAACTGAATGAGCTTTAAAGTCCCTTCCAACCTAAACCAGCCTATGATTTCTGATAAATGTTAAAATTGTGGGATTTGCCTCTAGGTCTGTTTTTGTTGTTGTTTTTTTTTTTTTTTAATTAAAAAAACCCTGAAACTCCTTTCTTTAAGCCCATATCTTGCCACAGCATTTGGGAATGGGAAGCTCATTATGCTGAAGCATCAGAAACCATGCAATCATCTAGTGACAGGACAAGGGGGAATGGCTTGAAATTGCCAGAGGACAGGGTTAGATGGGATATTGGGAAGGAATTGTTGGCTGTGAGGGTGGGGAGGCCCTGGCACAGGTTGCCCAGAGAAGCTGTGGCTGCCCCTGGATCCCTGGAAGTGTCCAAGGCCAGGTTGGACGGGGCTTGGAGCAACCTGAGATAGTGAAAGGTGTCCCTGCCCATGGCAGGAGGTTGGAATGAGATGAGGTTTAAGTTCCCTTCCAACCCAACCCATTCCATGATTCCATGCTTTCTCTGATCCTCCCAGGTCCTTTCCACCCTGGATTCTGTCACCCTCCTGTATCCCTTCTTCTACCGGCCCATGTTCGAGGTGCTGGAGGACGGCTGGCGCTCCTTCCTGCCTGACCAGGAGTTTGAGCTCCTCAGCTCAGTGGTGAGTGGCACTGGAAGGATTTCCACAGGCACTTGGATATTCCCTGAAGGATTTCACCCAGCAGTGGCTGAACTGAAAATCCTGGATGGTAAAAAATTCATCTGTTGCCTGGGTGAGGAGTGAGTGTTGTTCAAACGCTCTGTGAACATCAGGCATTTTTGTGTTGTACAAGAGGAGGTTTGAGGAGGTTTTAAAACTTATCTGGGAGGACACAAAGGTAGGAAATGTTTTGTCCTTTGTGAATGACTCTCTTTATTAAAACAACAAACTGAAGCCCTTTGGCCAGGGTTTGCTTCACTTCACTTTGAATCTGGAGTGGAGTGAAATAAATCTCTGTCAATCCCTTAATCGAAATTAATATTTTAATAAAATTGCTCAGGATTCCTCATCTCTCCAGGAATATGACAATAAAGATGCCCAGTTTGAAACTCTTTTAGCTCTAGTTCATGCTGGGGAAATATTCAGGGAGGTTTAGAGAGCAGGAAACTTCCAGTCCTCTTTTTTCCAGGTGCTGTTGAGCACGTGTTATTATTTTGGTGCCATGTTGATATGGTACATGTTGATATTTTTGGTTGGTATTATGGTACATGTTGATATTATTTTGGGTAGGAATTGTTCTTGTGGCATTGCCTGTTATTCAAACTTAATTTTAGGATGCCCAATTTGAATTGAACCTAATTTTAGGATGCTGAACTATCTTTGTTGCAGGAACTTCCTTGGATTTGCATCTCTGTGTTCCAAGTCTTTGTTTCCCATCCAATATGAGCACTTGCTCCACCATCTCAGGTTGCTGAGCCCACATCCATTAGTGCAGCAGCACAGAACATTGATTTTTTTTTCTTTTATCTGCAGCCCAGCCTGTCTGCAGCATCTATCACTTCCTGCCTGGGACTGATAACTGAATAATATCATCAGCTTGGCCAGATTCAGGTGATGAAATCACCAGAAAATTAAAGGAGTTCAGAGATCTGGCTATTTTTGTCTCATAATTAGAGAACTCTCATGTATCTTCATCTGATGTCCAAAGACAGACAATCTGACTTATTATCAGAACTAGCAACACATGGATCCCTTAATATGCCTTTTTTTTTCCTTATTTTTTCAGAGATTTTAAAATGCATTTGTGAATCTCTTGTTTTTCTGCTCCTTGTAAGACTTACATTTAAAAATCATATTATTATATAGCAATATTTCATTTCTTTAAAATATCCCTGTCTGGCAGCTGTTGATTAATTCTTGGCTTTTAACCCTTAAAACCTCAATTTTTTTAAGAAAATGCTGTCAAAAGCCACCTTCAAATGATTTACATTCCCTGAACAACAGATAAATATGTTGTTGTTGACCAGATACTCCTTGTTCTGTGATGAAACTGCCTTATGTGAAGTAAAAGTAAAAGGCTGATTAAATTCTTTCTGCCATAAGTTAAATGAGTAGAATTCCAGAGGTTCCCCCCCGTCCATTAAATCATCCACCTGGATCTGTTATCCCTGACCTTCCCCCACATGTCAAATCCATGTAAAGTAATGTATTAATTCCACATTTCACTGCCACAGGAGAGTTGTTTTAAAACATGGACACATTCTCTAACAGCAAAGTAAAGCTGTAAAAGTTATAATTTTTAAAAAAATTAGATGATACATTAAAAATTTAGATTGTCTATGATGTTCTTTGTATTCTTCTACAGCATAACCAGTGAGGGGCTGAATGGAATTCAGAGTTTGTGTAAGGGTTTCTTATTTTTATTGAGCAGTCAGAGAAGAGCTGAGGGGTTTCTCTTCTGCCAAATTCCACAACTTCAGGACACTGCAAACTAACTGGAAATTGTTGCCTAAAATTATGTGAAGAGGCCATGAGAAGTTTGTACACTGACAGTATAATTAACATAAAGGTATTTTATTGCCAGAAAATTCACTTATTTCTCTTTTTATTTCCCTTTTTCCTCTTTTTTCTTTTCCCCCCTTTCCTCCTTTTTCTTCCTCCCTTTTCGTCCATTTTCTCCTCCGCTTTCCTCCTTTTTCTTCTCTCCCTTCCTGCTTTTTCTTCCCCCTTTCCTCTTTTTCTTCCTCCCCTTACCTCTTTTTTCTTTTCCCCCTTTCCTCTTTTTCTTCTCCTCCTTTCCTCTTTTTTCTTTCCCCCTTTTCCCTCTATTTTCTTTCCCTTTCCTCTTTTTTCTTTCCTCTTTTTTTCTTCCCCCTTTTTCTCTCTTTTCTTCCCCCAGCTTTCTTGCTCTTCCCTTTCCCCTTCGTGGCTGGAAAGAGCTCAGGAATCTGAATGGTTCAATTGTGCTTTATCTTATTGGAGCTTCTTTTAAAAAATCCCAATTTTCTGGCTTTGGGCTCAGTTTACAATGGTTTGGGTCACCCCCATTTTGCTCTTATCAGACAATCATCAGTCTTTGCATCTGTTATGCTCCTTTTTCATGCACAACCTGCCCCTAACAGGACTTTTTCCTTGGGAATGGCCTCTGCCATTGCTGCTTTGCAGGATCCCTCAAGGTCCTTGATGGTTTCCCAACTTTTTTTTTAAGGCTTGTTAGTAGAACTTGAATTATTTCCCACTGTTTTGTGGAAAACAACCTCTCCTGGCAATTCTGAGTTTTAGGATGAAGGATATCTTGCACTTCTGGAAATCAATATCTCTAAACAAGTGCTAGGACAAGAAAAGTAGAAATCCCAGAGTTAATCTTGCAAGGAAAAAATACTCATTTTTCTTTCTTTGGAGTCCTTTCCATTGTGCTCAGTGTCCTTTGCTGCTTCTGTCCTTAACCTTTTTTGATTCCTAAAAGAACAGATCTCACACTGGGAGAATTCAGTGTTAATTTTGTGCTTTCTCTGAGTTTTACACAACACAGTTACCTGGTGATGCTGAAGGTGAGGTCCCTCCTCCCTTCCATTGCAAACCCTCTGCTGCACATACCTAAATTGCTGCTGCCTCCCTCTTCCAGTTCTAGTGGCCATTTTTTCTCCCAAATTACAGCTCTACCCCAAAAAAAAACTAAGAATGGAGTTTACTCCAGCAGTGTGAAGCTGGCACTGCACAGGTTAATGGGATCTCTGCAGGAGGAGCTGTGCCAGGGAAGACAAATGGTGCCAACTGCTGCCAGGCCCCTCCTCCTTCCCATGGAACAGTAAATTACAACTGGATGACATAACAGGATCATCTGTCTCGTGTTATAAGTGGGGAGGGGAGGAGTTTCTGGGCAGGGTTAAATTACCAGAGTGGGAGATAAATCAGGGGATGCTCTTCCACTCCTTTTCATGCTGGTGATACCAGTGACAACCAGGCTCAAACACACCACAGAGCTCTGGCTTTGCCTTCCCCACATCCTGGGGAGGGGAGTTATCAGTTTTATCTTCCTGTAATGTATTTATCAGTTTTATATTCCAGATCCACACAGATTTTTTTTCATTGTGAACAGATTGTACACCTTTATGTGTAAATTAACACAGACACCCCAAAAAGCTATAAAAATATACAAATTGTCATTATTGGTGTATTAAAAGCTGGAGCTGTGACCAGCCACATCCCTTTTGTGATCCAGAACTTTTCATCTCTGCTTATAACCTGATGGCCAGAGGCAGTTTGACTTTGCATCTGGGAGAAGCTCTGCTTTCTGTAAACTGGAGCTGTTCAGAGAAGCTGTTTTGAGGCTAATTAATAATGAAATAAGGTTGTGGTGCAATACTGTCCAGCTGGGCCACTGCACACGGGCAGCAATTTCTGCTCTTGCTGCTGCTGCTGATCCTGATGCACATAATGTGTGTTTTTCCAGCATCTTTTTCTTAGATTGCCACTAAAAAGGACAATTTTATTGTCTCCAGTGCCACATATCCCAGGCCTCAGAGCTCCTGCTGCTGAAAGTGTTGTGAGTCAGATCAGCTTGTTGATCTGATGGAAAGACTTCATTGCCAGAAAACCTTTGTGAATTGATCCCAGTTTTCCATTTTTGCAGTGAGCCGGTCAGGATGATTTATATGAGCAGGTAGCAGCCAGGAGGTGCACGGCAAGAGGTAGCAAGCCTCTGGAAGAAAGGAGAGAGGGAGAAAGACCTAATTCTGATCAGAAATGTGCAATTAATACATGTTAAACCAGCAGACCTGGATCGAGGTGGGGTTTTGTGTATCCTGTTACAGGTTCATTTGTGCTCTTCCCTTCCTTTCTGTGCTACCTGCTTTACCCTTCTGCCTTTTAGTCTGGCTGAAACTTCCTGTGAACACATGAGCAGAGGTTTTATGGCATTTCTGTGAGGTCTCTGCCTCCTGCAGAGCTCTTTGTTGACCTTCTTCCTTGAGCTGGAGCCCAGCCCTGTGTCTGACCCTGGGTATCAGGTGCCTGAGTTCTCATGCCAAGTGCCTGTGAGGTGCAAGGTGCCAACACTCAGCACTTCTTTCCCAAGGATTTGGCTCTTGGAAGCTCAAAAGTTACATAACAGGAGCTGAGGATGAGACCTTGGGCCTTGGATGCTCTGCTGCTTCCAGAAGACGCTTTGGGAGCAAGAGCTGTCGTTAAGCACGTGGAAAAGAACCAAGCTGGAGGTATTAAATTGCAGTTTTAACCTCAAGGCAGCTCCAACATCTGGAGTTGGTGGAAATTCCTGCCTTTCTCAGCCCTCTCTGTCTTGTGAACTCTTCTTTCAGCACAGATGGAGGGTTGAGCCCATGTTGCTGGATCTAAATGAACCTTTCTGCCCCCTAAATTTGCTGATGTAGGAACACATTCCTGCTCTGGGATATCCCACATTGTCTGTGCCTGTGAAATAATTGAAAGCCACAATCACCCATTTCTGACCACTTGGGCTTATTTGGTGCTGTTTGAGGATGTGGATAAACCAGAGAGGGAACTGTTGTTCAAGTCCTGCACCTCAAGAACCAGAATCACCTGATCATTTCCTCCACTTCTTTATCTGCATGTTGAGTAATGAGTGTCTGGGAGCTGCTGCCACGAGATGTTTTCAGGGAGCATCAAGGATTTGGGAGAAAATTAATGGGTCAACAGACCTATAAATGGTTGGTAAAAGGACAACTGAGCTTTCTCCTTTGGTGCAGATGGAGCAGATCACCAATATTCCTCTGCGTGTGCCTTATCCTGCACATGGAAGTTCTTCTTCCCAGGGTTTAATGCTCTACCACTAATAATGTGTTTTCTGACCCAAAGCCTGTGTGTTGTTCTGGTGTTTTTCAGACAGATGAGTGGCGTCTCAGCTGCATCAATAAGGAATTCTCTGTGTGTCCCTCCTACCCTCCAGTTGTCATTGTCCCCAAATGCATCACCGACGACGAGCTCCGGAAGGTCGCCATGTTCCGCCATGGCAGTCGCTTCCCAGTGCTCAGCTACTACCACAGGAAGAATGGGATGGTGAGCTGGGTTTGGGTGTTGGTTGTTCCTGAAGGAAGTGTGTGGATCTGTTTGTTTCATGGAAAAGCGACTTGTGCTCTGGAATTAACACAGTTTGTGATGTTCGCCTGGTTTATTTTCCGACTTTCTCAGTGGCTGCAGTGAAAGTGGTTCTGGGGGATGGATGGAATGAGTCATCTCCATCCTAGAAATAGCCATTAATGTGCTTGTTTGGGAATGTGCACGGCATGAGCTTGCTTACAGCAGTTAAGAACAAGATGAGGTTTGTAAAAGCACTGCTGGCACCCTGACTTGCTTTGTCTGCCAAGAGGCTTCAAGGGAAGGATGACAGGAGCCACATTGTCCCGTCTGAGTGGTGGGCCCTCATCACATCATGGTGACAGCAGAGCCAGCACTGATTCTGCTCTGTGCCTGTGGTAGGAGGATCAGAACAAGCTGTTCTCTGAGCCTGGCAGTGCAACATGATTCAGGAGCAGCAAATTCTTGGTGTTGCACAGGCTTTTTGACAAGCCAGAGTCTAATGGAGTGACTGATGCACTGCAATTAAGAAATGCACTCTATCAAACTGTTGAGTATTTGTGTCTCTTGCTGATGTAACCAGTTCTGAGGATGTTGGGATGTCCAACCTGCAGCTTTTAAACTTGATACAGGCTCCTCAAATGCTCTAATGCCTTCTCACCTCCTGGTGCCAAGATCTGTAAGCCTTGAATTTGAGGATGCCGAGTCTGACTCAGTAATAACTTGGGGCTTTTTTGCCTTGCTTTAAAATCAGCCACCCACCAGCTCCATATCAGTTGTGTTTTCTGCTTTTTCTCAGCTCAGCTGAAAACCATCAGAGGAAGATTTGCTCAGTTATCTCTCCAAATTGTGCATGTTTCAGGTGTGAGGGATATAATGGTGTGCGGCTCAGAGCATTTGAACTTGTGACAGTAACTTTGTCCCTCATGTTCTCCTCATGTTCTCCTCTTGCCTCTGAGTTCCCAAATGTCCTTGGGATTGCTGACTGGCTGCCCTCACATTTTAGTGATCATTTGAGCTGCTGGGGAGCTCCTGAATTGGAAAGCATTTACTAAAGAGAAATCTCAGCTCATCAGTCTGTGGACTTAAGGTTTATTAGTTAATCCACGAGGGAAAACTGTCCCTAAGAGGCATCTTTTAACATGTGAATGATTTGAGTGTTTTAAGAACAGAGTTGGGAAGAGACCTTAAAAATGACAATCCCCAAAATGTTTGCTTCATAGGATTACAGAATGGTTTGGGTTGGAAGGGACCTCAAAGACCATCCAGTTCCAACCCCCTGCCATGGTCAGGGACACCTTCCACTAGACCAGGTTGCTCCAAGCCCCATTCAATCTGGCCTTGAACACCTCCAGGGATTTATAACACTTCCAAGGTTTATAAAGGAGCCATCAGCAGGAAGCCAGTTCAGAGTTTCACAAAGATGGTATTTCAGGTATAATTAAAGGGATAAAGCCCCTAAGATGATATCTGTAATTTAGAACTTTACCTGCCAGATATCCTCAATTCGAGGATATGTAGTTTGGTTTTTAAATACGTTCAGTTCCTGCAAAAGATTGGACTTAAAAAACCCTGAGGGATTCAGGGCAAGGCTTGGAGCTCAAGTGATTGGTGCCTTTCAGTCTGAACTCCCTCCATTTCCAGTGCCTAATTCCTGGTTTTGTGTCTCCCCAGATCATGATGAGAAGCAGCCAACCCCTTACAGGTACGAACGGGAGACGCTGCAAGGAGGACGAGAAGCTGATCAACGCCTCGCTCCGGCCCGGCAAACGTGGCTACATCATTGACACCAGGTCCTTGAATGTGGCCCAGCAGGCCAGGGCCAAAGGAGGGGGCTTTGAGCAAGAAGTCCACTATCCCCAGTGGAGGAGGATTCACAAGGGTATCGAGAGGTGAGTGGAATCACAGAGGCCCTGCCCTGGGCTTGGCTTTGTCAGGGCTGTGGTTGCTCCATGAAGTATTTGCTCTGTAAGAAGAGTTGTGTATGCTGGTTCCTGTCAGCAGGGTCATGTTCTTTTTATGGCCAAATCAGGATGTGTGGATGATAAAGGTTATTTGGGTTTCGGTTCCTTGTTCTGAACAACCTGCTGCAGGTTTCAGGCATCAGGCATCTCCCTGTGCCAGCCATAGCCACACTCCAGCCTTCCTCTCTTCCCTTCTCACTGGAAGGAGCCAGAAAACTTCTGCAGGTGAGGATTTGTTCTGTGGCAGTGGCAGTCACACTTTTATCCAGAGGATTTTCCCAGAGAAGCTGTGGCTGCCCCATCCCTGGAAGCATTCAAGGCCAGGTTGGACAGGGCTTGGAGCAACCTGGGATAGTGGAAGGAGTCCCTGCCCGTGGGAATGAGATGAGCTTTAAGATCCCTTCCATCCCAAACCAGTCTGTGATTCTATGAGCCAGTACTTTTCACTAGACATCTAATATTGTTTGATCATTTAGGGACAAGTTACTAAATTAAATAGACTTTTAGCTTGGCCTTATTCAATTTCTCTTAACCCTAATTTTGGAAAATCCTCCTACACAGATGTGCAGTAATGTTAACTGGAGATATTGGAAAGCAGTCACTCCCCTCATCACTGTAAAGACCAGCTCCTGAGGAGTTAATTAAGGAATTTCCTGGCTATTACTTCGAAGTATTTGGTTTTGCTTCTAAAGTTTTTACTTGAACTTAAATTTTTGTTGATTATTTTACAGCTCTACAAGCATCAAACAGAAGAATGAATAAACCACAGTATATGAACACTAAATAATCCATATCCTGGTTCCTGTGTTACTTCTTATGTTTCCAATAACATTTTCCTTTTCCCAAAGGTTTAATATCCTGCAGGAAAGCCTCATCAAACTGGTGGAAGCTTGTAATGACCAGTCCCACAACATGGACCGCTGGCTCAGTAAACTGGAAGCTTCCAACTGGCTGACTCATGTCAAGGAGATCCTGACCACGGCTTGTCTGGCTGCTCAGTGCATTGACAGGTAAATCTCTTGCAGAAAGGCTTGAGTTTCTCATTCATTTTGTCATTAGATACCTCTGGAGTATTAATAACTGCCCTCCACGATCTGGCTCGTCCTCATGCAAGATGCTGTTTCATCATCCTGGTGAAGGAATGTTCCTCCAGTAAATCATGCTGAGGGAGGCAACCTCGACTAAGAATAGGGTTTAAATTATGTAATTGAGGTGTATTCCTATGTCTGATGCAACCAGTCTGATTTAGATTCCTTTATTAAAGGTTTAGGTTAAAATGTGCCCATCTGAAATGCTGTTTGAGAGTAAAGAGAGGACACAGGGTTGATTTTTTTTTTTCCAAAAGTCCTTTTTTCTTTTCAGCTGAAAGTTTCCAATACCCCACCTCACTTACAGAGGTTAAACCAATGGCATTTCCTTGTTTTCCCCAGGAATTGGCCCAGTGCTTTTCCCCTCTTACATTTTCATCCCTAAGCAATCCTGCTCATCCCTTCTAAGTGCTCATGACCTCTCTTAACCTGACATTTCTGTCACAAATCCTGCTGACTCAGCTGACTTGTGTTCAGACCTCAGCCTGGAGAGCCAAACCTCCCTGTCAGGTGCCAGGGTTTGTAAGGCCAGATGAAGGAGTTAAATATGTGTTTTATTTGTGGCTCTGAGCAGGAAAAGCCTATCCCAAAAATTCAGGGAAAACCTGGCTTTTCATACCAGCTGGAGAATGTGTTCTGCAGGCACACAGGCAGGCTGGAATGCTGTCTTAGTGGTAAATCAGCATCAGAGCATTTAAAACGTGAGCTCTGTGCTTTTTGAAAGCACTGACAGTGCTGGTTTCATTACTGACTGTGCCAGGAAAGGATTGCTCTGGATCAATACTTTTGTCTGGAATTCTTTCCTACATGCGTACGATGAGAAAGATCAGTGATGAAACCATTCTGGCTTGTTGGGACAGTGGCTGATTTCATCATTTTTAAGTTCAGCTTTGCTTTTTCTGTTTACCTGGAGCTGTGTCAGGTGCCTGACCTGCCTCACTCAGGGCCTGGAGGTCAGAGGTGAGCTGACAGGGATGATTCCATTATTTACCATGGGCAGGAATGGCTGGGACGGATCCTGCAGCATCTTGAAGGTCTGGGGCCTGAAAGGTGAAAGGGGGAAATCCTGTTATCCTGCTGTGCCCCACTTTGAGGAGGGCATAGGTTGGCAGCCTTTGGAATTGTGCTTTATCTGTCACTGCTGTGAGAGGAGGGGAGAAAGGTTAAGACAGGTAGGAAAGGAAGGTTTAGATTAGATATTAGGGAGAATTTCTGTGCAATTACAGTGGTGAGGCCCTGGGACAGGTTGCCCAGAGAAGCTGTGGCTTCCCCATCCCTGGAAGTGTTCAAGGCCAGGTTGAATGGGGCTTGAAACAGCCTGATCCAAAGCCTTACCACTCTTTCAGTGAAGATACTTTCCCTAAACGTCCACTGTCGCAACTTAAGGCTGTTTCCTCTTGTCCCGTCACTTGTTACCTGGGAGAAAAGACCGACCCCCACCTGGCTCTGACCTCTTTTCAGAAAGCAGTAGAGAACCTCAGTTGAGGCCCAAATTAAACCCAGGTTTGAGCAAGAACCTCATAATACTGATTTGCAGAGCATCTGGGTGGTGATACATCTTCATTTCAGTGCTTATGGGAAGATTTGAGAGTAATGAGCAAAACGGTGAATGACACAAGCTCATTTTGAGCTGCATTTCCCAGCTGTAACTCACAGGGGTACCACTCCAAAAGAGTGAGAACCACAAAGGAGATCTCCCTGTGAGATCAAGACAAAGAGCCTGGATTTCCAGACTGCTTAGCAAGAAACTGAGCCTTTCATGATGCAGAGCTCTGGTTAGTGTTGGTGAGGACCCAGGTGAGAAGGTGGGATGCTTTCTTAAGGGATGTGGTGGTAAAGAGACAGCAAAACCTCAGTATTGTCAGCACTGGTGTCCATGGGATGTAATGGCATCCACTGGGATGTGTATGCCCTTGGGATGTGTTCTGCTCATTCATACTCTCATTCATACTCTTGTCTCTTCCCACCTCTTTCTTTCCCAGGGAAGGTGCATCAGTGTTAGTCCATGGGACTGAAGGAACTGATTCCACGCTCCAGGTCACTTCTCTGGCACAGATTATCCTGGATCCAAGGTGCAGGACCATCCGTGGCTTTGAGTCTCTTGTTGTGAGGGAGTGGCTGCAGGTAAGAAACACCTCTGGACAAAAGGGCAATCTGTTCCAGTGACAGCTGGATTGGGAAATACCCGGAGAGGCAGCAAACAGGTTGGGCCTTGTTGAAGCCCTGCTTGGTGTGAACGGCCTTTGTCCTCAGAGCAGCATCATTCCCTGAGTCATTTGTACCTCTGGCACTTTGTGGGGCCTCTGCCTCTCCTGGCAGTTTTTTGGGTTTGGGGAACTGCCTGTTTTGTGTGCTCAGGATGGACATCTCTTACCACAGAATGGTTTGGGGTGGAACAGACCTTAAAGATCATCTTGTTCCACCCCCCCTGCCATGGGCAGGGACACCTTCCCCCAGACCAGGTTCCATCTCTTCCATCTCTTCAGAGCCTTGTTCAGACTAAACCACAAAACCTTAGTTCTGCTCTTTGTACCCTTGCAGTCCACATCAGTTTGTTCTTGGTCACATTCCCTGATCAAATACAGGACTGTTCACACAGCCTGGGAAAGGCAGGCAAATTGGTCACAGGATCACAGAATTGTTAGGGGTGGAAAAGCCCTCTAAGATCATTGAGTCCAGCCACTCCCCAGCACTGCCAAGGCCACCACTGACCCATGTCCCCAACGTCCACATCCATATGGCTTTTAAATCCCTCCAGAGATGGGTACTCCACCGCTGCCCTGGGCAGCTGTGCCAGGGCTGGCCAACCATCTTCATGAAGAAATTTTCCCTAATACCCAATCTAACCCTCCCCTGGCACAGTTTGAGGCCATTTCCTCTTATCCTGTCCCTTGTTCCCTGGGAGCAGAGCCCAACCTCGCCCTGGTTCCCCCCTCCTGTCAGGGAGTTGCAAAGAGCCAGAAGGTCCCCCTTGAGCCTCCTTTTTTCAGGCTGAGCCCCCCCAGCTCCCTCAGCTGCTTCTGGTGCTCCAACCCCTTCCCCAAATTCGTTTCCTTCCCTGGACATGCTCCAGCCCCTCAATGTCTTTCTTGTCATGAGGGACCCAAAACTGACCCCAGGGTTTTGAGGTGAGGCTCAGCAGTGCCAGCACAGGGGTATAATGGTTACCAGCAGCTTGTTACTGGATGCCTGAGCAATAACAGCACGGTCACATGGACAGAACTGTCTCTAAGGTCTTTTTTGCTACATGTACCCACATCCCACTGCTTTGTGTGTGATGCTTCCTCTGATTCCCACAGGCTGGTCACCCTTTCCAGCAGCGCTGTGCCCAGTCAGCCTATTCCAACAGCAAACAGAAGTGGGAGGCCCCGGTGTTCCTGCTTTTCCTGGACTGTGTGTGGCAGATCCTTCGGCAGTTCCCTTGCTCCTTCGAGTTCAATGAACAGTTCCTCATCATGCTCTTTGAACATGCTTATGCTTCCCAGTTTGGGACTTTCCTGGGAAACAATGAAAGTGAAAGGTTGGTAAGGATTGCTGGATTTGAACCCTTGTGTGTCTGACAAAAAATCATGGAATGGTTTGGGTTGGAAGGGACATTAAAGATCATCTCGTTCCAACTCCCTGCCCTGGGCAGGGACCTTCTACTAGACCAGGTTGCTCCAACCTGGCCAAAAATCCCCACCCATTCCCAGTTTATGTAGTCTCTTACACAGAAACTCTTCCATAAAAGAATAAACAGCTGGAGTTTGACGTGAGTCATGGCTGTGGGAAGCAAACTTGTCCATGCAGGCCTGGAGGAGAAGGTCAAGGCATCAGAAGCCAAAGCTGGCAAGTCTGGTCCTTACCTGTCAGGGAGGAACATGACTCTGTAGCCTGGTGGTCCTGACACCCCCAGGTCCAGCCCTGAGTGGGGCTGCTGGGAGTAGCAAATGGGGGGAGGGCTGGAGCCTCCCACAGCTGTCAGAGAGGTTTGGATTCCTGTTTTGAGGTGGATTCCTGTTTTGAGGTTAACAGTTCAGCCCTCAGGACTCCTGACTCCAGTAAGACCATGTCTGATGGTCTCCTGCTTAACTGAACATGAAGGGAAAAACCGAACTGATATTACAGATAAGGGAGGCAATTTAAAGCTTCCTATAAACCTCTCTGCCCTTCATCTTGGCTTAGAAGAGACTCTGCTGCCTTCTGCAGGGCTGCTGAACTAGTCATCTGCAAAACCAAGTTAGACTTGAAACCAATAAGATGGAATTTGGAAGAGTATTGGATGTTACATGTAATAACCTGCCTGTCACATTCGAGCCCGTCAGCCTGAGAGCACAGACAGGGTTTGAAGTCTGATGTGAAGCTTGTGCTGTCTGAAGCATTCACAGGGATGGTGAATCTCCTCCTGGCTGGCAGTTCAATTTGCTAGTGCAGGCAGGATGTTTGCTGCAATCTAAGGAATAGAGATCCCTGTGTGACTCCTTGTGGTGGGGTTGCCCCAGGAAAACAGCACTGCTTGCCCTGTGTGCTTAGATCCTTCCTGCCACCAGAGGGACCTGTCAGATGTGCCCATTGCACAATTCCAGCAGTAACACTGCTTTTATGTACTCAAGAATTCCATTTCCATCCTTCCCTGGTGCAGACCCATCCCACTTTCCAGCTCTGCCTTAACACAGGAATTCAATCCCTTTCAAAACCTGGCACTCGAACCACTGTGGGGAGGTGACTGATCCTTCACCTGGACAGGAGGCAGCCAACTTCCACACAACTTATAAATGTTATTTCCCCATCTTTTATTCAAAACTAATGGTAATCAGCCAGGTTGAGTAAATTGCTTTAGGTTTGCACCCTGTGCCACGATGGTGAGAGGTACTGAAGGGATTGTCCTGAATTATCTGGGCTAGTGGCATATTGAGAAACTTGTGGCCTTCTAGTCTGTGTGGTTCTGACTAAAACAGTCTTTACGGATCAAAGTGTATAAAACTAACTTCCTCCTGTGGGTTTCTTAGGGCTAAACTGAAGCTGCCTCAAAAGACCATGTCCCTGTGGTCCTGGGTGAACAGGAATGAAGAGCTGAGCAAATTCCAGAATCCCATTTATGAGGCCAACAGCTTGGTCATCTGGCCCGCCGTGGCCCCACAGAGCCTACAGCTCTGGGCAGGTAAGCCAGGCTTGCTCTTCCTGTTACAGACAATATCTACTTTGGGACTGCTTGTAAAGCTTCTCCTGACCTTTTTGGATAATCCATGTGCAGTGAGTTCCCTGCTGCAGGAACTTTCTCCATCCCATGGGTGCTGAAGAGTTGGTAACAGTGAAGCAAAGTGGGCTGTCGTGGAAGCGGGGAGACATGGATGGGTCTGATCAGGATATGAGGAAAAGAATGGAACCCCCTCATTTTTCCTTTTATTAACCCTGTTTAATAGAATGGTGAACTTGGAGAGGAGGGTCAGTATTTTTAATGGCTGTTTAGGGGGGAGGGCAAGGGAAGAATATGTAAACTGATGGAATATGAACTCCTTGTAACAAGAAACCCTCGTGACCTGTCTGCCCTGGGCTTTCAGGTGTCTTCCTCCGGTGGAACAGGCCTTCCCAGTACCTGGAGGAAGCCCAAGAAGAAATGGTGAAGATTATAAAATACAACAAGGAACTCCAGGACAAGGTGAAGGTGTTGAGGAGGCAGCTGGCAGAGCTGGAGGCGGCTGCGAGGGTGCAGCACAACCCGTGAGCTGCCCGCGCTTTGCCTCAGGTCCTTCCTTTCCAGCCCCCTCTACACTAAAGACTGAACGTGGAAAAGTGCATGTGTTGCTGAGCCCTTGGGCCCAGCTGCCCTCAGCCCTCCCACTGCTGAAACCTTCACACTATGAACCTCCCTGCTCTCCCGGGAGGGATTTTTGTTTTGTTTACAGAAGACACAGCTGGGCACAGTGTCCTCTCTTGGCCGCTTCTCTGTCTCAGCGTTGTGTACAGTGTCAGCAGGAGCTGGAACTCTTTACCTCCAACTGTGTGGATGACCAGGATGGGCCAAGAGACAGGATGTCTCCAATTTATTTTGGACTTTTTCTGGGTTTGTTGAACTCTCTAAACACTCACAGGATTAAAATACAGACTTCTACATAGATAGGTAAAGGCATTTTGTCTGAAAGCACTTTTTCTCCCCAAGAGTAGGTAAGGCAGCTTAGTTCTTTAGTTTCCTAGAAAAACTAGAAATTGTTAAAATCTAACTACAGTTTCTGCCAGTCTACACAATTCTCTCAGTAGCCTTCACATCTGACACTTGGGTTTTTGTGTTCAGCATTGGCTTGGGAGCAGAAATTTAAATACCAAACCAGAGCAAGACTTTTCAGTGCAATACAGAACTGAAGTAGGGATTCTGCTGCTAATGTTTAAGCCATGACTTCCAGGTGGAATTGTCCCTCATGGATAAATATCTCCTAAGAAATAACAAGCTTCTTTTATTCTGCCTGGAAAACAAAAAAGGTTTGGTAGCTGCTGGAGGTGTTCACTTGCAGAACAGGGGCTCAGAGCTGTCCTTTTACCCAGATCCAAGCTGCCTTCTTGGAATTTCCAAGTCCCCTGGCTGGGTTTGGACACCTGGCCAGGTTCACAGCATTGCATCTACAGCTCAGCAAAGCACTTTTGCTCCAGCTGATGTGCTTTTCCCCCTTGTGCTCTTATATCCATGTTGTGAAACCTCAAAAAAGCAGGAGCTGGAAGTTCAGGTGACCTCCCAGATCTGCTGCAGATTAAGGGGCCATCACACTACAGAAATGCTCAGAGTTTAGATGATTTGTAGCTGCTAAAATTACTTAAAGACTTTAGGGATAAGCTTTTTTTTTTCCATTTAACTTTGTATTTTGTCGCTGCTCTTCCTGTTTCTGCAACTTCAATCTGCTTTCATGAAATCAGAGTTTTCTTTAGCGATTTTTTTTCTCCTTTCAAAAGACAGGTAAGAGTAGGTCTGAAATACTCATTTTCTCAGCTCAATTCCATGGATGGACAGGACTGAGAAGAGTTGAATTAACAGCAGCACATGTGGCTGGGATTATCCAGAAATCTTGCTGTTACTGAAATGGAGCTGCAGGAGGTCGGTGGTGTTCTCTTTGGAAACTGTTGAGCTTCCAGTTTGGGGAATGAAGCTGCCTTTATTTAAAAGCCACTTTCACACAGATAAAAATGCAGGATCTTTAGTTGTCGTAGAAGCAGCTGGAGAGTGATCTGCAAAAATCATGTGGCCACTAAATATATTCTAAGGAAATCCTATAACCAAGGAAGCAATATAAAATTATGTTATAGTGATTAAGTGCTACCTTAATGCCTCTTGTTCACTCTTTATTTCCTTAATTCTTTTCTTCTTGACTAACCTAAACTTAGCCCTAAAGTCATGAAAAAATACCAAGATCCCTTTTAAGCCACTGAAGGCAGAAAAGTAATTCTCCCTGCTTGTAACACTGATTTCTTTTTAGGTTTGGAGAGTGATGGTTTTGTTCACTAAATCAAGTCTGACACAGGGAATGCTGCTCAGGGTGATCTGTCCTGCATCACAGGGGAGGCACAATTTGGCTGTTCCCTCTTCCCACCTCCAAATCTGGCTGCTGGAGATACCTCTGGGTATGTTGTTAATATAAGCCCTCTAAAATGAATGTTCACCCTTTAAAATCATGTCTGTGGGATCTGCACCTCCCTGGGTGGTGTTTCCCTTCCCAGTTCAGGATTTGTACATCTGAAATCCATTGTCCCCAGCCAGATGGGAAGGGTTCAGAAGGCACTGTTTTCCTTGTAATAGGCTATACATAAAACACCCTTAAAGGTTATGCAATTTCCTAACACAGTAATTATAGATTGAGCTAAATAATAGAGAAGCAGAGACGAGATTTTTTGGGATCTAATTGCCTGGCTCTTCCAGCCTCTCCTGCAAACTGCAGGCATCCCAGGAAATTGGGAAACCAGCTGTGACAGCCAACAAAAGGCAGGACATTCCCCCTGAGCTGGCATTTAATCCATCCTCCACTTGTGTCTCAGGGCTGAATCCACACCCAAGTGCTGTATGTGCCTTGGCTTGGTGGATCCCAGCCTTTGTGTGGAAGTGCTGGGGTCACCCTGAGCAGCTCCAGCAGTTCATTCCATAATTCCTGTCCCTGCAAACAGGTTGCCTGCAGCAGCCCTGTGAGGTGTTGCAGGTGATGGAGTTGGGACACGATGTGGTGTTTTAGCTCCTGCTGGGAGAGGACAGTTCACAGAGCTCTTGTGTCAGGCTGCTTCCATGTTCTCCTTTAACCTTTCCATTCATTCCCAGTGCTTCCCAGGCACCAGTCTGGTGGCTGCTGGTGTGAAACACAGCGGAACACTCCGATTCTTTGCTTCCCTGCTTGTCTCCCATATTTAATCACGTATTTAATATCGACGTTGGATTTGCCCCCTCTCAGAGGGGGGACACCTGCCCCCTGAAGTCCCTGACACCCCTGTTGCAGATTCCCAGCGTCTTCCCAAGCTCCAGGTGCTGTGGCAGTGCCCAGCTCTGGCTCTTCCCTGTGCCACTGCCTTACACCCCCGCTGACCCCCTGCTTCTGCTCTTTTGCACACACTAATTGTGGAACAAGCTGGACACTGAGGGCCCCACCTCCAAATTTTGGGGTCAGTCAATGAGGACACTGCCATTTACCAAAAGAAAAAAAGAAGAAGGGAAAAGGAACTAACTTGCACAGTTTTCATAAGGGAATTATTTACCTTCAATATTTTGATTGTATTGATCTAACTCTTGAATGTGGCACTGGTTGAAGTGCACTCCTGTTGCATAGGATAGAACTTCAGATTGCACTGTACAGCATTTTGGTGTCTCATGTGTGCTTTGCTCCAGCCTTGGGAAGTGCTCTTGTGTGTCCAGGCCCCTGTGGGAGGAGGGAAGGTGTATCCCAGCACTCCCTGTATTTTGTGATAGCAGCACTGTGTGGTGTGTGCTCTGTATCTGTTCACTGCTGCCAGTTCAAGTGATGAGTGCACTGCTGTCCCAACATCTGGAATTGCTATTTGGACTTGGCTGCTGCATCAGTCTTGATTTTTCTTGTAAAAATTGCAATGGCAGGGCTGGGAGTTGTGCTATTTTAGGTGTATGCTGTGTGTGTACAGAACCCCAGCTGCTGTGGTATGGAATATATTGCAAAAAAAAGGTAACAAATCTGAGGAAAAAAGATCATGGCTCAATGTTCAGCCATTTGGGGGGAGAAAAACAGATACAAAGTGGCTGTAAACTTTGCTGTAGATATGTGAGAATATAGTAGATGTGTCTGTTTAAATTAAAATCTTGAAGACTAAAAAGTTCTTTCATTATAGTGCTGAATCTTTATTGGTGTGGTGTCTGCTTCCCACTGTGTGTGTGTGACTGGGATGTGAGTTCTTGCCTGAAATTTTAGCTCTTTTCAGCTCATGTGTGTTTTATTTTACAGCTGAACAGGTTCTGTGATTGTAGAAGAGGGATGGAAGGAGAAGGTTGAGACCCTGAGGCTGTGAGTGGCTGGCAGAGCTCTGATATCAAGGTTTTGGTCCTTGGACACCAGCTCTGCACATGATGGATAAATAATTAGCTTGGCCAAAGTTTTTTGCTGGTATTGAACTCTCCAAAGGCAGAGAGGTAGGGGTATTCAGAGGGAAAAGGGTTTGGACTGAAACAAAGCCCTGTGGAAGGGAGATGGTGACAGAAGGGGGAATGGTTTTAAACTAAAAGAGGAGATTTAGGTTAGAGGAAAATTCTTCCCTGTAAGAGTGGTGAGGCCCTGGCACAGGTTGCACAGAGAAGCTGTAGCTGCCCCATCCCTGGAAGTGTCCAAGGCCAGGTTGGACAGGGCTTGGAGCAACCTGGGATAGTGGGAGGTGTCCCTACCCAAGGTAGGGGGTTGAAATGAGATGGTTTTTAAGGTTCCTTCCAACCTAAACTGTTCTGTGACTATGAGGTCCATCCAAAGACCTGGGGTCACAGTTACCTGTTGTTTTTGAGGGACATGGGGGTACCGTGGTGCACTTGCCAGGGGAAGGAACAAAAAAAGACTAAACAGCTCTTGGGAAATGGAGGCTGGGAACTGTGGAAGCTCCTGGATCTCTCCCTGTTGGTGAGTCAGGAGTCTGGGAACCACTGGGCTTTCTGTTTCCCTGCAGTGTCATCTGTGGTCTCTGCAACTCCTTGGGAAGGTGGTGAGTTTTTGTGGCTTTTGGTGTTGGAGCAGATGGAGACTGGGGGGGGTGTGCAGCCCTGTGTGATGACACAGGGAAAGGTGCTGAAGGTTTTGATGTGAAAAGATTGATTTTCAGTCCCTCTATCTGCAAAACATTTCCAAAAGTCTCAGCTGAAACAGAGTAGGTCTATTTAAAATACTTTCAGCTGTGATCAGGCAGCCTGATCTGGGTTAAGCTTGATTTTAGGAGAAGAGGGAGAAAATAACTAGAGAATCATAGAATGGTTTGGATTGGAAGGGACCTTAAAGACCATCCAGCTCCATGGGCAGGAACACCTTCCTCTATCCCAGGTTACTCCAAGCCCCATCCAACCTCCAACCTGGCCTTGGACACTTCATGTATCAGGAGTCCATCTGACCAAGTGTTGAAATTTGGTTTTATTCAACTTCTCTTTTTTTTTTTTTTTTGAGACTATTGGCATTTCTGTTTTGAAAACCCAGGTGTTATTATTCAGTGCCACTGCAGGACTCTCTTCCATGCTGCCTGTTTTTCCCCCAAGCAGTGAGAGAAGACAATGAGGAGGATTTACCATTGCACATGGGCTGGAACTCGGTGATGCTGGGCTGTGTTGGCTGCTCTCAGCTTCCCCTGCTGTGGGAATGTCATGACAAGCCCCTGGCATTTGTCTTTGAGAGCTGAGCTGATGATCCTTTGATGTTCTGCTGTGAGGGTGTTGCTGATGGATTCAGATACTTTATCTGATGCTGCAGCTCAGCTAATGGAGGGTTTGCTCTGAAAGCTCAAAATCTGCTCCCTCAGTATGTGAAAGTGCTGGCAAACAACCCAACCACTGCACTGAGTTGGGGCAACTCCTGGGATCAGTCCAGGCTGAGGATGAACAGATGGAGCAGCCCTGGGGAGAACTTTGGGTGCTGGTGGGTGAGAGGCTGGACATGCCCCGGCCATGGGCACTCCCAGCCCAGACACCCCCCGTGTCCTGGGCTCACCCCACAGCATGGGTAACAGGGGAGGGGGGGATTCTGCCCCTCTGACCCCTCAGGTGAGACCCCACCTGCAGAGCTGCCTCCAGCCCTGGGGAACAACAGCACAAGGATGTGGAGCTGCTGGAGCGAGTCCAGAGGAGGCCACGGAGATGCTCCCAGGGCTGGAGCCCCTCTGCTCTGGAGCCAGGCTGGGAGAGCTGGGGATGTTCAACTGGAGCAGAGAAGGCTCCAGGGAGACCTTGGAGCCCCTTCCAGTACCTAAAGGGTCTCCAGGAGATCTGGAGAGGGACTTGGGACAAGGGATGGAGGGACAGGACGCAGGGAACAGCTTCCCACTGCCAGAGGGCTGGGAGAGATGGGACATTGGGGAGGAATTGTTGGCTGCAAGGATGGTGAGGCCCTGGCACAGGTTGCTCAGAGAAGCTGTGGCTGCCCCTGGATCCCTGGAAGTGTCCAAGGCCAGGTTGGATGGGGCTTGGAGCAACCTGGGATAGTGGAAGCTGTCCCTGCCCATGTCAGGGGTTGGAACTGGATGAGCTTAAGGTCCCTTCCAACCCATCCCATTCTGTGATTCTGTGACACACAGACTCACTGTGGTAAGATGTGTGTTACACCAGTCTTAAAAACACTGGTTTAGTTACTAAACTCAGGTTCGTTACAGCTTAGGGAGGTACACGCCCAGTTTCCAGGACTGCACATCCCAGTCGGAGGTGGTACCATCCAGGATGGTCTCTTTCCTGGCATGAAAAACACTTGTGATGTGCCAGCAAAGTAAGTGCAACATTTCCTTTTGATCCTTGATGGTATGGAATAAAAACTTCCTGGCAGGAATAAGGGTTGTTTTAGAATTTGGGCTTTTTGTTTTAAACAGAGAACTGCTTGGAGGCTTGGAGCAACCTGGGATAGTGGAAGATATCCCTGCCTATGGCAGGGGATTGGAATGAAATAGCTTTAAGGTCCCTTCCATCCCAAACCATTCCATGATTTTATGGCTTAATGAGCTGTCATCTTAGACTGTCACTGCAGCTGGATCTTCATGTAGACTGGAAGAACAATTCCTTTTTTATTTTTATTGTTTTAGGCACCAGACTGGGATTTGGGAGAGTGAAGTCCTAGTCCTGCCGCTGCCACAGGATTGCTGGTGTCATCTCGAGTCTCTTCACCAAGGAACCACAGGGACAGCACATCCCTATGGCAGGAGCTTTGCTGTGTGTCCAGGTGTCCTGAAAGGCTGGGAAGAGCTTCTTTCCCTCAGCTATCCAAGCACAGTGGGTGCAAGTTCAGCAAGGGCAGAGGGGAGCAGGATGAGACCACAAAACCCCACAGAATGTGTAGGAGGGGATGGGAGGGAGATCAAGCCTGAGGTTCTGGGAGAGGCTGTTTGTGAAAGCTTTGAACAAGCAGCACTTCTGGATGCTCCATGGGAAAAGGGAGGAAAAAGGCAGTGGTGTAGAGTGGGGAGAGTGACAGGAACAGTCTTAGAGCCACCATGGCTGCCTAGGAGAGGATGGACAGTGCTTGTCTGCTGATGGAGATTCCCAGCAGCAGAAGTCATTCCCAACAACCCTGGTCACCATCCTGGCAGTGCTCAGAGTCCCAGCATGGAGAAGTCCCTCACCACAGGCTATGCAAAGGATGCTTAGGAATTTCCGGTTTACTGTGTGTTAATAAACTGCCCCTCCTGGAGAGTGGGAATGGTCTGGGGCTTTTCTTGGTCCTGGGTGACACCATGTTAAATTTCTTGCAGTTTTGGAACTGTTTGAGGCAGGAAGAAATGGGATCAACTGCTGAGGAATCAGATCCCTCAGGGACTGGCTGCATATGTTGCTCTCCAAATCAGGAGCATCCCTAAATCTGTAACCCAGCTGCTGTTCCAGGGTGTCTGAGTGAGGGAGGTGGATAATGTGCTGTGAGGATCAAGCTGTTCCTCTTCTGAGTTAAAATCAGCCTTTTGCTGCCCTCTCTCCCTGTTTTCAGCTGCCTGGATTTCCTTCTGCTGAGAAACCTCAACACCCAGCCCAGATCCCTCTCATTATGGCCTTGAGAGGCAGAGCAGCTTGTTGGAACATGTCCTGCTCTCTTCCCTTTGATTTGCATTCCCAATATTCCCTTGTTAGTCTGTTAATGAACTTCAGGTTGTTTTTTTATGTTTGAAGTCTTTCGGACATGGATTTATATTATTTAAAAAAAAAAAAAAAAGAAATCCAGACAACAGACAAACCCACAAAACCTTTAAATTCAGATAACATGAAAAATACAAACCATACAAACTTCTCAGTTGCCTGTAACTCTCTCTCTCTCTCTCCATGGAGCATTTTTGGGGACATGTCTTGACATGCACAGAGATTCTCTGAGCGGGATTGGAACAAGCTGCCCAGGGAAGCAGTGGAATTGCCCTGGAAGTGTTTAAAAGGTATGTGGATGTGGTACTTGGAGACATGGTTTAGTCATGGCCTTGGCAGTGCTGGGAGAACAGTTGCACTCAGTGATCTTGGAGGTCTTTTCCAACCTAATTCTAGGATACACATGGGTGAGGACTGTCATAGAATCACAGAACGGTTTGTGTTGGAAGGGACCTTAAAGATCATCTTGTTCCAACCTCATGCCGTGGGCAAGGACACCTTCCACTATCCCAGGTTGCTCCAAGCCCTGTCCAACCTGGCTTAGTGAGCTCCAAGGCTGTGCTGAACAGAGAAAGACATCCAAGGTGTCTTTGCTGCCCACATTGGTGCTCACTGGGTGGGAGGATCACCCTCAGCTGGTTGTTGGAATGGAACATCCACGCTGCTGAGATGCCATCCACCCATCTGGGCTTGAGTTTTCTTCCCTTTAGGATTTTCTGCCTTCCCATACTGATGGTTTTACTCTTTCCCCTTGGAGCTGCCGCCATCACATTGACGTTCCTACCTCTGTCCTTGGTTTTACCTTTCTTATCTTGCAGGGCTTTGTGCTCTTTCCCATGAGCTGGCAACCTCCTGAGCTCTGGGAGGAGAGTTTTCCAGCTGGGCTGTATCAGGGAGGCCTTGGATTCCAGCTGAACCCAGAGGATGGGGTGGTTCAGGGCCAGCTTTCTGCTCACTCCATCCTGCTGATTCTGTGCCAGTTTAATGCTCCAAGCGCTGGCTCGGGGCTGGAGGAAGGGAATGGTTTATGGAACCACTTCTGATCCCTTGGGGGATCTGCCATCCTGGTGTGATCCTGGTCTGGAAGAGAACTTTACTGTGTGTCCAGGGAAGGGAACAGAGCTGGGGAAGGGTCTGGAGCACCAGGAGTGGCTGAAGGAGCTGGAGGGGCTCAGCCTGGAGAAAAGGACGCTCAGGGGAGACCTTCTGGCTCTGCAACAACCTGACAGGAGGGGGAAGCCGGGGGGGATCAGGCTCTGCTCCCAGGGAACAAGGGACAGGAGGAGGGGAAACAGCCCCAAGTTGCACCAGGGGAGGTTCAGATTGGATATCGGGAGGAATTTCTTCATGGAAAGGACTTTTAAACATTGGAAGGGGCTGCCCAGGGAGGTGGTGGAGTCCCCATCCCTGGAGGTGTCCAAGGAATGACTGGATGTGGCACTCAGTGCTCTGGGCTGGGTGACAAGGTGGGGATCAGTCACAAGTTGGACTTGATCTTGGAGGTCTCTTCCAACCTAAATCGTTCTTGGATTTACATTGACTCAGCTGAGCAGATACAGCAAAGCCCTGGGTGCTCCAAGCACGTCCTTCCTGAGCTGAAAACACCCTTTTCTTCCACTCTCTGCACTCTCAGGGTCATGGGGACAACAGAATCTTTTCTTTTTCCCTCTGCAGCATCCCAGGTGACTGTGTCTGCCCTGACTGCAGGGCTGGGCTGGATGCACAGTGCCCTTCCTTGGAGCAGCCACAGGGTCATGGTAGAGGTTCTTACTTCCTTCCGTTTGGTGGCAGACGACTCAGCCTGGAAAAGGGATTGCTGAGGTGATGATATGATGGAAGTCTGAGATCTATTAGCCTGGAAAATCATGGAATGACAGGATAGGTAAGGTTGAAAAGGACCAGTGGAAGTCATTTCACTGGAAGCAATTCTTCCCTGTGAGGGTGGTTCGGGCCTGGCACAGGTTGCCCAGAGAAGCTGTGGCTGTCCCATCCCTGGAAGTGTTCAAGGCCAGGTTGGACGGGGCTTGGAGCAACCTGGGATAGTGGAAGGAGTCCCTGCTCATGACAGAGGGATGGAACAAGGTGGGGTTTTTAAGTCCCTTCCAACCCAAACCATTCTATGATAATAAAGGGAACGTTTTACTCACAAATTTTGTTTTAAGCATGAATGAGAAAAGGTGTGTTCATGGATTTTCTGATAGTACTGGAAGCTTCAGCTGGAAGTTCCCTGTTTGATTAAAGTAACTTCGAGGATTGCTAAAAACATTTGAGTTTAATTTTTAAAATAACGTTTCAGTCTGGCTACATTTTACTCCCTTAACAGCAAGTGTCCAAGGCCAGGTAGGATGGGGCTTGGAGCAACCTGGTCTATTGGAAGGTGTCCCTGCCCATGGCAGGAGGGTGGAATGAGATGATCTTTAAAGTCCCTTCCAACCCATGGAATGCATGACTCTGTGGAGTCCAACCCAGCTGCTGGTGGCCTTTGAGACGGCACAGAGTGTCAGATGACCCTTTAATTTGACTTTTTTTGGCAGATTCTGTTCAATCTGTAGCAGACAGAGCGACACTGCTGACACTCCGCGGCTTTGCCTCTCCAAGGGCATTAACTGCACTTTTTCAAGGCTCCGCAGTGGAACAAGAGACTGCTTTGTGTTTGTTTTCCTCCTGAAGCTTTCCCTCTTTTCAAGAGGGACAGCTGTTTTGGTGAATGGTGCTTAACAGTCCTTTCAAACTCAATTAGGCACTTGAGAGCCAGGAGTTGTGAGCACTCGGCTTCCATAGCCAGCAAAGGATTTTCCCCTCTGTTAAAGCACGATTTTCCAAGATTTCTACACTCTGTGAGCTGAGTTTTTAGTTACTGGCCATTTGTTCGTGTCTGGAAGCTTTGGAAATAGTGGCCAGCCCTGCTTTGTTTGCTCTCTGAACTTTGAACGATTTCATTCAGCATTTTGTAAGAGGTGAAAAAAAGTAAAATTAAAAAATAAAATAATAAAATTAAAAACTAAAATTAAAAACTAAAATTAAAAAATAAAATTAAAAAATAAGCAGGCTCTGCCCCAACCCTGAACTGACTCTTGTCTTATATTCACAGCAAATTCCAGGGATTTTTTTGTTGGCAGGCTTGACAACAAACCATCCCTGCGTTTAAATAGTGAAGCCCGAGTGCTTTATCCTTTTGTCTCAGTGCATATCAGGGCCCAGTGTTTGTGTAGGGTCTCCTCCTGCCCCGGAGCTGTGCCCGGGTCCTGCCCAGCCAGGCGGGAAGGGATGTGATTAATCCCTGTCAGACGCGGTTGGCTCTGCCTCTGATCTCCAGGCTGGGGAGATCTCTGTGTGTGCACTGGAGGGTTTTATTTTGCTTAGCAGAGCTCTCTGAAAGGTTTTCCCCTGATACTTTAATGTTCATCTTTGTCCTGAATGAAAATTAAGACCTAAATATATCTATTTTTTTTTGTATTACACCCTTTTTCCTTGATTTAGTCAAGCTCCACAGAGTATTTCCTGGAGGTACCTTTAACAAAAGCATTTTTAATATTTCAGGATTCCTTTTTTGGGCTGCTGAGCTGAAGGTTCCAGCTCAGTGAGCTGTGCCCTCAGAGGGGCCTGGGATACTTCATGTGTCATATTTTCATGCCCTGGGCTCCTGCCCAGGAGCTTCCATGAGACACAGAGCTGAGCTGGCTTCAGGAAGTGTGTAACAAGGACCAGGCTGGTCAGAGCAAAGGTACCAGCACCTCCAGCAACCATAATCTACGGATATTTAAGGAGAGATTATAGGCAATGGGACCAGAGCAACCTGGTCTAGTAGAAGGTGTCCCTGCCCATGGCAGGGGATTGGAATGAGATGATCTTTAAGGTCCCTTCCAACCCAAACCATTCTAGGGATATTTCCCAGACTCCAGATTTTTATTTAAGGAGAACGAAAGTTGAATTATTTAGGCAAAACCACCTTTTTGTCTCCAAGGAGGATTTTTTTTAATTTTTTTTTTTTTTGCTGAGATTGCTCTTTCCCTGGATGGAAAATTCCCAACCTGCTTGAGTTGGCAAGCTCTGGTTTTCAGCTAAAGCATATGCTGATGTATGTTTATATCTTGCTGCAACAAAAAGCTGTGGATAAATCAAGAGCTGAAGGCAGCAGGCAGTTCCCTTCCCCATCCCAACAATCCTCATCTTGCCAGTGGGAGGGTGGAAAAATGGCAATTACAGTTCATTCTGCAGGAAAATGACAGCAAAACTGTACTAATGAAATAAAATATAATTCCAGCTTTATTGTCTGTCCTACAGATAATACTGTAAATTCAGGAAGAATTTTTTCATGGAAAGGGTTGTCAGACATTGGAAGGGGCTGCCCAGGGAGGTGATGGAGTCTCCATCCCTGGAAGTGTCCAAGGAAAGACTGGACGTGGCACTCAGCGCTCTACCCTGAGTGAGAAGGTGAGACTGGATGATCTTGGAGGTTTTTTCCATCCTAAGTGATTCTATGAAATGCAAAATGATCCAGAAAATCCGACCTATAGCACCTGTTGCCTCAGAGATGTCATATAAGAAGAAGGAATGACCTGCTTTTATTTCAATAAAAGGACTATTAAATTCCAAGAACAAAGTTTGCAGCCTCATCATGCTACATTATAGTGATTATCCACTAGCACTGGCTGGAAAATGGAATTCCTAAATGCTTTTGCCTCTCCCTGGCTCGTAACATGATGCCTTATTACCCTCCAGCAAAGGCAAGGAATTCTTAGGCAGATTTTTCCCTGGCACCCTGCAAGCTCCTGCTGGCTGCTCCATGGGCTGGACAGCTGGGAGAGGCTGGAGAGGCTGTGGGAAAGGTGCCTGCCTGTTCCTGGAGCATCCAGCACACTCCCAGCTCCTGAAAAATGGTTTTGCAGCTGTGGAAAGAGCTCTGGTTTGCAGAGATGGCCGGTTTGGATTTAATTTTAAATTCATTTCAACTTTTCTGTCCTGACATTTCCCTCTGGAATCTCCCGTCAGGACCAGCTTTATTTTCAGAGTGTGAGTTTTGAGGTTAATTGATCAGGACACTTGAGGGATGAGGGATTTAAGCCCCTGAGACCT